ACCTCCTCCAGGCTCTTCTTCACTTCAGGCCCGATTCAGCTGAGTGCCTATTGTGATGCTAATTGGGTTGGTTGTCCACTAGATCGTAGGTCTACCAATGGTTTTTGTGTGTTTCTTGGGCCTAATCCCATTTTCTGGTGTGCTAGGAAACAACCCACAGTTGCCCGTTCTCCATAGAAGTCGAATATCACTGCTTTACTCACACTATTGCGGAAATCTCCTGGCTATTCTCTCTGTTCAAAGAATTCCATGTTCCTATTCACACCACTCCGATCATCTGGTGTGACAACATGTCAGCTATTGCTCTCGCCTCCATTCCAGTTTTTCATGCTCGCTCGAAACACATCGAGGTCAACTACCACTTCGTCTAAGAACAGGTTGCTCACAACTTTCTGATGTCCGTCACGTACCATCTCATGGGCAACTAGCAAATCTCTTCACCAAAAGTCTGCCAGCTGCCCATTTGCTTCATCTTCTTCATAAGCTGCACGTATGCACACCCTCATCCAGCTTGAAGGGGGATGATAGTGAGCCCATTCCTCAGGCCCATGCACAGGCCCACACACCAGCTATCCATGATAAACCTCATCCAAACGCCAGCTAACCCAGATAAGCCTCATCATCTATAACTAATCAAGATAAGCCAAAATTCCTAATCAATCTGATCTCCACTTGTATTTATCCTTGTACATGATAAACATACCATAACAGTTATAATCTTTCTGTTCAAAATCATCTTTGTTCAGAAAAACACCTATATAATTAAAAAAAAAGGAAGAAAAAACAGTTTGGGCGATCATTTTCTATAAAATGCTGCACTTGTTTTAACTTGAAATAGGCGAAAAGATTTTCAGAGTGAAATTCTTGAATCATAATCTTGGCTCTTCGAAAATTTTATTTTATTTTTGTCATTTTCATAAAGAAAAAAAAAGGTTATGTTAGCATGCACGGGCCAGAGCAATCTGAGTAGATACCAGATTAGATGGATTCCAATAAAAGTCTGTTTGGGTTGCCCAATGCCATAAGACAAAACCTTATAGGATTTCAACGGGATCTGGGTTAAAGGAACCGACACCCAAGAAAGGATTTACAAGATTATAAACAGAAGTGGATTGGGTAGGTGATTACCGCTCCTGATTCCTGACTATTATTGACTATTATAAGAGAGAGAGAGAGAGATAAAAAAGTGGATTGGGTAGCTGTAAATGAATCTTTGTCTAGCAAGTAGCAACACTATAAACAAATGAGATAAAAATCAAAATAGATTGAAAAGTTGAGCGCTGTTATTATTGTTTTGATTTTTTTTTTTTTTTTGTCTGTATTGCGCGTAATAGGCAATTGGTCGAGAGGACAGAGAGCACAAGAGATGGTCTGGACTCTGGACTCTGGTCTGAAGCCGAACTCCTCTCCTCAGACTCAGAGCATCATGTCACAGACATGACTTTCCCAAAACAAGAAATGGGTGAGTTTCATCATAACCCCGTCCACATTCCACAAGGGAGAAAAAGGAAATATGAACCTGCAACTAAGATCATCTTTGATTGATAGCGTGAAGAACCCAGATCCATCAAAGCATTTTCACTTATTCCTGATTGATGATTTCTCTTGGTTAAGTTAATCGATGGTTAACTGGTGAGTGGTGACTGGAGAGTTTACTTTACAACAGAATTAAGATTAGATAATTAGGGTATAAGCTCATACTTTAATTCCCTTTTTTTTATTTCTTTCTTCTTTCAGCCATGGGAATTGATGGTGATAATGAGTGCGTCTGATATTGCCATCTTGCACGCCGTTTGTTTCTGGAACTGATTGCGAGAATATAAATGATGATACCCACTGCACGCTCCCTCTCTCTCTCTCCAACAGAGATCCCGGATTGTGAGAGAAATCAGAAATGAAATCTCAGAATCCCTCAAAAACAACAAAACAAAAAATCTAACCTTCTTTTGATGGGTACATGGTCATCCCATCATCCATCACCATCATTTCTTCTCTTTCTCTTATTGTAAACACCCATGATGATGCATGATGATGACATGATGAGATGCCCATGCCACCCCAGCTTCCATTAACCCACATCATGAGTCATGACACCCTGGTTTATTCTCTGTCGATACCCTACAGCTACATTAGGCATTTTTGGTACTTACGATACGACAAAGTATTATGTGAAGTGAGAGTCCCTGGGTTGTGATTGGTGATGCATTCACACAAACACCCCCTACCCCCCTCTCTGTCTTCTGATGAATTCCTTACTTCCTTGTGTCCTTCCATTTCCATAGTTCCATGGGCATCACCTTTGACCATCAACCCTTCTGTCCCACTTTTCCGCTCAAGACTGGTTCGCTGTTTGGTACAACAATGGGGTGTTTGGATGATTTGGTTCGTTCCACTTATTTGTTGATGAACCTCATCAAGAGTTGAGTGGATGATGGTTCAAATTACCATCCGTATCCATCAATCCAATGGTCCTTGTATATGTGATGCATATGCATTTTATGGGTCCCAGAATTGTCAACATTCAGCAAAACGTGGCAAAAGGTAATGTGTTTTTCTGTTCCTTTGGATTGGGATCAGGGAGCACAGGAATCCAAATCCCTAAATCAGGTCATTGGTGGCCCTGTTGGGTTGAGTTGAGCAATGTATATCCGGTCTCAAACCAAAATAAATATTCAGAATACTGGGTTTGGGTCTTAATGGGTTCAAAGCAACCGAAACTGATCCTGAAATCTGAATGACCATTGATAATTAGGACACATAATGCAAACTCGAACCTTACGTGGATATGGATATGGGTTTGATTCAATTGTGTGTCAAACTCAAATCCACTCAACCCATGAACACGGATTATTCTTGTCATTACAAGATTACAGTCTAATATAAAAGGTCCTAATGTCCTATGTTTACACAGTTCATCAATGTGTAAAAGCAAAATATAGTAGATTCAAATCCAATGGAAACGAAAGAGCATATTTTAGTATCCATTTGGTTCACTTATAGAATTGGAATCCAAATCTCTCGAGTTCAAATCAGCCCCCCACAGCACATTCATGCCATATATTGGAAACATTTCCTGATGATGACATCATAATTTTTAGTATTATCATCGGGAGATGTTCCCAATACACGGCAGGTATGTACTATGGAACATTGTGGGGGGCTGATTTGATCTCAAACCTCTCAAATCTGAATCGGAATGACCATTGTGGGGGGCAATCCAATGGGAATGACCATATGGGGAAATGGGAAAAATGCCATTTCACCATAAATGAAAATGGGATTTCAATTCTGTCCCACCAAATGATTAGAATATTCCAATTCTAAACCCTTATTCCCACAAACCAAACAAGCCCTTAATTATTAACACAAAATTTTATTCCAAATAAAAGGTTGATCAGTACATGACCCACCAGCACCTTGTCTCTAAACCCAGTATTAAAAAAGTTAAATTTCGTTACGGAATGAGTCCTACCACGATACACCTTCATCTAATACATCAGAAGTTTTGATTTTAGTCTTGGTGCAACACTAAAACCAAGTCATAGTTTGTCAACCCACATTAATACTTCTGTTAATTGTTATATTATTGTACTCTACTTTTTTGTACTTTATTCCCATTTAATTATTTCTTTAAGAAGCCAAGTTTCATCCAAACTAATAAAAGAAAATGAATGTAAAGAAACCCTTTTTTTTATTTTTTGGGTAACTGATAAAATATTAAGTAAAGCAAGCTACATTCAACAAAAATTGCTTAGGCATAGCTTTAAAAATAATGAAAATAAATAAAAAAAAAAGTTTCTTGCACTATTTTCATCTGGGATGGGAAATTAGTTGCTTTATATCAAAACATGATCAATAATTATTTCTTGGAGCTGCAGGTTCTATTGGCTACATTTGTTGCTAAAATCAATAATCAATGGTTAAGTACACGATTCTTTTCTATTCTATAATGTAGTGAGAGGAAATGTGAAAAAAAAATGTGCATATATAAATGATAGTACTTCTGACGGAGGCTTTGATGGCGATAGTCCTAGTCCTCTTACCCTTTGATTCATATTATTATAAAGTTAGACTCAGACCCAATAAACCAAATTAAACGATCGGAGTAGGGCTGTCAATAGATTTGATATTGAATAATCAAATTCAACATGAATCCTTCACTAAGTCCAATCCAATCTAGTGAATACTTTTAACAATTCTGGACTAGTTTCTTGTAATGTTTGGACTATCTAAACTATTGTTCAAATTGGTTTTAGTTTAGATCGAGTCTAATCCAAATCCGGTCCATTGATGCCCGTGCTTTTATCTTATGTCAATGGGCTGGATATTGGTTCAATCTGATCCTGTCCAATATAAATCCATTACAAATGGATTAGGTTCAATTCAATCTAATAAATGCATGTTTTAGACCATTAAATCTGGACTGGTTCAATTTAATATGTCTTATCCTCTATATAATCTGTTCAATTGATTTTGATTCAGGCAAAGGCCAACTCAAACTCAGTCCATTGACACCTCTACATGCACAGCTCAGTTGTCTAAGTGTTGATCAAGTTCAGATTTATTAACCATGAGTTGTTCCCACATTCCTACCGACTTATAATATCAGCTGCACATTAAGAATATATCTCTCTTATCATTCATGGAGAGATATTTCCGATACACGACAGTGGTGTTTCCTATGAGTGTAGGAACAATTTGTGAATAGAAGATCGGGAGTGGAGGGTGAATCATATAATTTTTTTTCCGTTTTATTTAAATCTCTTAGACCCGTCAGATTTCCGATCCATCAGTAAACAGATCGGGATGGGTCTGCATGCATGACCTGAGTTGGTCCGACCAAGGGTCGACGCATGATTATGGAAACAGCATCACATACACATGTTTGATGAGGAGCAAGAACCAAGAAGAGAGGAATGAGGAGATACTATTATTAAAGTATAACAACACACCCACAATCGCAATTCACAAAGCAAGAATTATAGGGCCTAATGCCGAATCGTCGTTAGAAATCGCGAGATATCTTTCTTTTGGTTTTCTCTTTTCTGGGTTGCGAAAATCAAAGCTCTTTTTTTCAAGCTCGAAAGTCGTAATCCAACTGAATTCCGACCATTCCAACCCACACCGAAATAATAACCCATTTCGATTTCCCTGCCACTCCCCTCCTTATAATGTTCACGCCTCTGCACCACCACCCATAACAAACGTCCAAACACCATCACCATCGTTCATACCCTCTCTCTCTCTCTCTCTCTCTCTCTCTCCTGCTAGCTAGTTCTCTCTTTCGGGTTGTAAAGGATGAACGATATTTCTGGGTCGAATGAAAGAAGTGGCAATGGCGACCTAACGAGTGAAGGCCGGAGGAAAAGCTGTTGGTATGAAGAAGAGATTGAGCAGGATTTGAGATGGTGCTATGCTCTCAATAGGTGCATATTCACACATTGGTCTATTATTCCTTGTTAATGCTCTAGGACTTAAAAAACATAAACCACTCTACAAACTTCTTCTCTCATTGAATGAAGATGGGGGAGTACCTTCATTTTGTTTTTTTTTTTAATCTTTACTCTCATTTTTTTCCATTCTTCTTCTTCCTAAGATGAAGAGCTTCCTTTCTAGTTAGTTTGTTTTTTTTTTTTCTTTATTTCTGCAGAAAAGGTTATAATTTAGTTATTTAGCTATGACAAGGATCAAGCGCAAAATGATGAGGAAGATTCATCAGAAGGAAAAAAAGATATCTTTTTATGAGTTTGAGTCGAGACAGGCAAAAATGGGAAGCTTTCTGTGATATTGCTTTTCAAAGACAGATTTTTCTTCTTTTAAAACCAATGGTTTGTATAGTAACAAAAGTAGTATCTAATGTGGTCAGGTAAAAGCTAGACAAGATTAAAGGTCATTAAATAAGAAAGGAAGAGTTGCTCTACAGTGATACCCACCCAAGTTCAAAGACTAGCATTAAGTGTAGCACCTTACTCTTTACTGTTATCTTTTCTTTGTTGCAGTATTTTGCATACAGGAGCTAGTCAGTACCAGGACATTGCGCTGTTGGACACAAGGCCCTTTGGAAAGGTTTGTAGCTTCTTCCCACTTCTGTTTTCTGGAGGTGAAAAGAGAAAAGTCTTCTTTCTCTAAGCGTTTATGTATTTTTATATAACAGGCTCTAGTCATTGATGGGAAGCTTCAAAGTGCAGAGATGGATGAATTCATCTACCATGAATCGCTTGTTCATCCAGCACTTCTTCACCACCCCAAGTCAGAAAAGTTCTCCATTTCCTTTAAATTCTTCAATCCATGCATCATCTGGTTAAGTTGTTTACTTATTGGTTTCTAATTTTCAGTCCAAAGACCATATTTATTATGGGAGGAGGTGAAGGTTCCACTGCAAGAGAGATCCTGAGGCACAAAAATGTTGACAAGGTGGTCATGTGCGATATCGACGAGGTATTTTTGTTGTTGTTTTAGCCTTAGAATCACTCAGACCATTCACTCACTAGGCCATACTTTGCAGAGCTGTTGAGAACAGCTGAAGTGGCTGAACTCAATGGTTTTTTTTTTTTTGTTGCTTTGTTCTCTAGTGGAAGTGGCTAAAATGTCATGTAATAAACGCAACACGTCGTTCAGCCATTAAGAAAACTTTCAGTTTATCCAATTCGACTGTAATCAAACAGACCCTTGATGGTTGTTGGAGATAACTTGGGGTCTCCCCAGTATCGAGGAAGATATATCCTTCTATCTCTCTGCATTTACAATAGTGATGTGGGTAGATGAAAGCTTTAGTATCTTGAACAGGGTCGAGGCCAAAACATCGATCAGAGTGTTACTGTCATCACTTTTCCTTTGTTGCTTATCCCTGTTCTTGTTTTCTTTTGGAAGAAAACATTACATGATGTTGCTTCACCTGTTTTATGGCTCAGCAAGTAGTGGATTTCTGCAAGTCATACCTGGTTGCAAACAGAGAAGCTTTCTGTGATACCAGGCTTCATATCACAATCAATGACGCCAGGTCCCTTGTTTCCTTCAATCAATTTTTCGTCTTCATCATTGTTGCTACTGTTGTTGTTGTGAAAATTAAGCAAGTTGTTTGGATCGGATGGCAGGGCTGAGCTAGAAAGGAGAGAAGAATGTTTTGATGTGATAATCGGTGATTTGGCGGACCCCATAGAAGGGGGTCCATGTTACCAACTCTACACCAAATCATTTTATGAATCCACCGTTAAACCCAGACTCAATGAGGGTGGAATTTTTGTTACACAGGTATGTACTACACAGTCTGTATGTGTGTGAGAAACTCTGTATAGAACGTCTGGATTTAACAGTTTTATCTTGACTGTTGTCCGTGCAGGCTGGGCCAGCAGGAGTGTTCAGTCATACAGAGGTTTTCTCTTGCATTTACAACACTCTGAGACAGGTTTTCAAATGTCAGTGACACCGTTGTAGCTCTGTTTCTCATTTTTGTTGTTCGATTCGATGGAAATGTTCAACCTGTTATTCATCTTTGGTTCCAAAATAAACAAACTGGGGTTGTCTCTCTCCATCTGCAGATGTTGTGCCTTACTCAGCTCATATTCCATCCTACGCTGACACTTGGGGATGGGTGATGGTATGTCAACTGAAAGTCTCTCTTTTTCTGTTTTTGTTTATGTCGATTGAATGATTTCTCATTTATGTTTGGGTAATTTCAGGCATCAGATTCCCCGTTCAAAGCAGATACCGAAGAGTTGGATGCCAGAATCAAGCAAAGGATCAAGGGGGAGAACAGATATCTCGACGGGAAGACTTTCGCGTCTGCTTCAATCTTGAGCAAAGCTGTTAGGAAATCGTAAGTTTTCCTCTTTGTGGGTTCATCTCTTTTGATTTGTGCCGTTGTAATCGTCATAACAACATTCATTTCATATCAAAATAGTTGGCAATTTGAGACCTTGGTTCTTGTATTCCCGTTGTGTTCTGTTTTTATGGAACAGACTAGACAAGGAGACTCAAGTGTACACAGAAGGAACAGCGAGGTTCATCTACGGCCATGGTACTGCCCACAAACTCAATCATGCTCATGCTTAGAAGAGGAATGGAAGGGAGCCCCTTAAAAAGCACACGGACAAAGCTGAATCTCTCTCTGTTTACCTCTGTTGTTAATTTGCTATGCTTAAAATTGAAAGAAAGATACAATGGTACTGCTTTATAAGCTTTATATGTAATTAATCCTTGTTGCCATATGGATCACTGTTTTAGTTTCATTTAAAAGAATGAGTGACATTACAGATTGAGAGAAATCCCTCGTCAAATTTGTGACATCCTAGAGTATACCCAACAAAAAAAAAAAGAAAATTACATCTTAGGCCGTTCATTTACCATGGGCAATTGACTACAATCCCAGCATTTGTATGTTACTATATTGGGTCCATGATAAGCTAAGGCTGCATTTGGCATTCTTTATTTTAATGGCCTATTTCCTTTTTACTGTTAAAAATTCAGTATTGACAGAGGCATTTTAACTGTAAAAAGAAGATAAATCCTTAAAATAAGGAATGCCAAATGCAACCTTAGATATAAAGATCGAAAATATTAGTTATCTGAATAAGTGATAGCTTTCTAAAAGGTGGATAAATAACTACCCAGTTACCCATGGCCCATGTGCTATCCCTCCCACCTCTGTTTTTACCCTGATAACATGCACTGCACACTGCCGCAAGAACCTCACTAACCTGGGCAAGGGGAAACCATATTTGCCCAGAAAAATAAAACAAGTGGGGCCTTAGAGAGATCCTACACTTTTTCTTGTATTTCCATTGGATCTCTGACAGGTGTCTCCTTACACGTGTAAAAATATTCATACACATGATGGGATACTTCTCACAGATGGAATGTAACTATGTAAGTGTAGGAAAAAGTTGTACAGAGATGGGTTTCAAGTTTCAACCATTTGTATGAACTTTGTAAAGAAAGCATCTGCCGGGAACCAGTCATTCCCATACACCTGATATCTAATCTCCTCAAAAATCAAAACATCTAAATTTCTCAACCCAAAAAGAAAGGAATCCATTCATGAACATGAAGATTGAAGCTACCATCCAACCACGAAGGCTCCTAACGAGTTGTATATCAGAGCACTTGTGCCTCAACCAAAAGAGTTGCTGTTTCTGGCGAAGATGCTGACCGTTTCCAAATTTCTCTCAACTTTTTCCCTGTATTTAGGGGGTAGTGACTATAAGGGCTTGAACTTTCAAATGCAACATTATAATTCCCTGAACTTTTAAAAATATACACTCAAGTCCAATATGTTAAAACTGACATTACGATGAGGGTAAAATTACAAAAATGATCATAATTTTTTTCGCTCACTGAATTTTTATTTTTTTTTATTTATTTATTTTTTTTTGCATATGTAACCATCTCTATACTTCATTTCAACAAAGAATAAAAGCATTTGAATGGAAAAATGAAAAAACAGAAAGAAAAAGAAAATCTGGATATGGGCAGTGTTGTTATTTTACTCTCACTGTAATGTTAGAATTACGCAATTGGACTCAAGTGTATACTTCCAAAAGTTCAGAGTACTAAAAAATGTTGGAATATGAAAGTTCAGGCCCCTAAGTGTCACTACCCCCCTCTAAGTACAGGGTACTATCTGTAATTTACCTTGCTTTTGTTTTTCCTTTAGACCACGTTTGTTTGGGGTGGAAAATCGAACCAGGGTAAACTTTACACCCCAGTAGTTTTATACATCGGTGTAAAACTGATTTTTAAAATTTCTTTACACCAATAACCAATGTAAAATATACATCAAAATTATCGGTGTAGTTTTACATCTCTCTCTCTCTCTCTCTCTTCTTCTTCTTCCCCTTTTTTTTTCTCTGTTCCGTCACTGCCACTGCAACCAGTTGCAGCAGCAGATCTGAAACCAGGGCAGCACCGGCATTTCTCTCTCTCTCCCTCTTCTTCCCCATTTTTTTTCTTTCTCTGTTCCATCACCGCCGCTGCACCTCCCATCTGTCTCTCTTTCGTTCTCTCTTTCTCTCTTCTCCTCCTTTTTCTTCTTCTTCTTCCTGTGTAAATTTACACAGAATTTACACCTTGACAACCAAACATATGAAGGGTGTAAATTTTCAAAATCTACCGGTCCTAATTTCCATCAACAACTAAACCGGTTCATATTTCCCATCGGTGTAAAACTGAATTTACACCTAAAGCAAATGCAGCCTTAATGGATAAGAATTTTATTGTCACTGGAAATCTAAACTTCGACTAACAAACTTCATGAATCTAGGCTTAAATCTCCAACATCACATGCTCCAATAACTCCTTTGTTACCGTCAAACAGAAGGCATGGTTTCATGTGCAAAAACGTAACAATCTCAATGGAAGTTCATAATTGACCTAAATAACCCAATGGGCTGATATACATAGAGAGAACTTAATTGTTGGTGATATACATAGAGAGAAAAGGATTAGCTAAGGACAATATATTTCGGAGAGAGACAACACATTCTTCCCAACAGCACAAGCTAATTACAATTAATCACCCTTGAAAAGGATAAGTTGATAAATTTTGGTAAAGAGTCATATGTCAAAAGGAAAAGCCCTGAAACTGGAAGTCCTTTACAGGGGATTTTTAATTGTATCTCCCCCCGCCTGCTAGTAAATATGAAAACGTTGGTTGAAAATTTACAGAAAATAATCCAAACTGAAATTTTCTGCAGAATCGGTACAACCTCATGCACAGAATCAGAGTAGGAAAGTTTTTGGAATTAAATGAGTTATATAAAGATCAGCCGATCAAGAACTCGCTGCTTGCTTTGCTGGCTACTGTTTTCCAAGTTGCCACATATTCCATGATAAAGACTTCCTGTTTGCCGACAAAAACATATAGGGGTATTCATAAAAAAAGAAAAAAAAGAAAACCAAAGACAAAACAAGATAACAGTTTGAGAAATTGGCGACTGCAAAGTATTTAATTATATATTTATTCTTGACCAAGCCAAGATTTGATAGTAGAGCTCAAGATTACAGAATTCACCACTGACTAATACGGTAAGAATCCGACCAAAACAAAGTGGTGAGCATAAGTAGTTTGAAATCATAAAACGATCCTCATCTAAAGCAGTTAACTAGCTCATTAAGAACTGCACTTGGAGAGAGAGAGAGAGAGAGCAAACTCTTTTGCTGACTCAAAATCCACATGTGTAGCCTGCCTTTAATCTTCACTATAGAGCCAGTTCAACCTCGTCTGCTGAGCTTTCCTCATAAAATACATAAGCAGCATCTCGGCTATCCTCATTGCCACTACCTTGATCACTGTTATAGCTACCATCTGATGAACTTGTAAACAGTGAACCATCAGATGTGGGAATGCTTATGTGCGATGGCAAACTGGCATCACTATTTACATCACTGTCAATTATTTGTTCGATCTCCATAAAGCTGCAAGAACAATCACAAATAGTGGTCATAAATGTTTCCAAATCATTGATTGGTATTAATCACAATTGAAAGTAAACCAACCTCCCCTCAGAAGGAAATTCAGCCAGTATGCAGATCTCCGGCCTTTCTTCTAGAACACGCTTTATAGGAATCAAACTGCAGGCATGCACAAGAGAGGATTAAGCACAAGGCACCATGGAGTATTAAACAACAATCCAGCAGGAGTAATTACTACCTTGAATTGTAGCATCTCTCAATCCAATCACCTTCAGATGCTAGACCCTCCCTGTTGGATATATCCTATTTGGAAGCAGAGTCAGGACAAATGCTATATAAAATATAAAACCTAAAAGCTATATTAGTTTTTTGCAGAAAGAGATCAAATTTGTGTAAAAGAAAATGAATATTCCTGCCTCTACCCACAATGTGTCTAAGAAGTTTGAAGTCCCCTGCAAGAACTGATGCTAAAAAACGAGCAACTTCCACCTGTATATATGACAAACACATAAACGAGAGAGAGAGAGAGAGAGTGAGTGAGAGAGAGAGAGAGAGAGAGAGAGAGAGAGAGAGAGAGATGACAGTCCTCACTTCCTTGAGATGCATGCAGTCACGTAAAATCAGAACCTCCAGTGAACTGCCACTAGAACCACTGCCTAGATTCCTAAAGCACCAAAGACAGTGATAGGAACTAAGGACAATCTGAATATCTCGAAGGAATGATTTGAACAGAGTTCTTTGGGAATATCCAAACCTCAGGAAGGTGCCTGTAATTGAGTATGATGTTGAAAAATCAACAAATCTTATCTTGCGAAATCCCTACAAAAATATGGATCAAGTGAAGAAGAACCAGATAAGCTTAAATTACAGTAGTTGGTTGACAAGTCTGAAACTAACCGTAGTCAATTTTCTATGAATCATCATGAGCCAATAAGACAAGTCAAAAGTCACCAATCAGACTACAAGGCACACAAAAGTTTCTTTGTTGAACAATCAATTACTTCCAATCATGCAAGCAAACTAAATTTAATTTGGTGTTTGTAAGTGTTAGCATAGGGGTATTTCTGTCTTTATACCTTGATTAATGTTGCTGATCTGTAAGGTTGTGTTGGAACAAGTGCTCTTAACTTAAGTAAGAGCACATATGTCTTTTCAGTTATGTTTTAATAATAATATAAATACTTATTGGCCGACTGGGAGAAGTCAAGTTGACTCTTTCAGTTCGAACCAGAATTCTCTCTT